TTTCTTTTCTCTTTCTTTTTTCCTTTTCTTGAGATTCTTTGTTGCTCTTGGAAGATAAGCGTGTTTGTCTTCCTTTTGTAAATCTTCTTTGATGAATTAATGAAAGTGTTATTGATAAAAAAAAAAGAAGCATGATTTCACCTTGGGATTTGTTTTTGGGTGGGGAGAGGGAATCATTGATCTGCTATGTTGTTCAGTTGTTCTGTTGTTGGGGTGTTATCTTAACACCCAGCTGTTGCTTGTGTTCTGTTCCTTTTTTCCTTTTAGTGAATTTTATTTTTTACCTTTCAAAAAAGAAAATAAAGCATTGCCATTTTGAATAAAGCACAGCTTTTATTATGGGTGCCCTATAGGCTCAGTTTAGTAGGAGTACAAATGCAAATATGTAGAGTGCAAAACCTTATATTTTGTATGTATTTACACTGTACATATTTGCATATGTAGTCTTTCCAAATTGAGCCATAAAGTTTTTCATTCATTGATTAATACATTCTGATCACACATCACTTACTAGGTTCCATAATCAGCTCATTTTGAGCTTTTAAAATGTTAAAGTTATTTGCTATTCTTTTTTCTTTTTGTTGATCAGCAAGACAGAAAGGAATTTTATTAAGAAAACCCATAGCAGTTTGCAACAAGAAGTTGTGAAAAAAAGCAGTCCAAAACAGGATTAGCCCCCCAAAATGTTACAATTATGCCCAGTACAAAATGGTGTCTCTGAACCCCTTGCTTAGCAAGACTATCTGCCAAGCTGTTAGCAGGTCTTCTAATCCATCTTACTTTCATATTCAGATCTTTTGAGAGCCATTTGAAGCACCTAAACTCATTTTTGAGCTGCCAAATCACTCCTTCACCTTTTCTCAGCCAACCTACTACAATCTTTGAGTCACGTTCAATGATCAGCTTGCCAATACCCATTTCTTTGGCTCTCTCAACCCCATTAACTGCTGCTAAGAATTCTGCTCTTACCAAATCCCCTTGCTCAATTGGGCCTAAAAGCAAGGCCCAGATAGCACCACTTTCATCCCTAATTACCCCTCCAATGCCTGAGGGCCCTAGATTACCCATACTTCTGCCATCAAAATTCAGCTTCATCCATCCCCTTCCAGGGGGAGACCAAACCTCCAGAGTTTTTGTTTTGTAGAGGAAGACTCAGCTATGCCCCCCAGCTTCTAAAGAAGTCCTCCACCTTGAAATCCGAGAATAGTGTCAAAGTTTTGACCTAGTGTGCCAGTCTTAGTTATGATTTCAATAACTGTTTCCAAACTTTGCTCCTTTTCCTAAAAAATTCTCATGTTTCTTTCTTCCCAGATTGTCCACACCACTGCTGATCTCATACATCTCCATAACAGCCTTCCCTTCCTTTTTCTACTTCTCAATGCAATAGGGCTAAACAACCACTCCAACCTGTTATGAGGTCCCACCTGCACCCAAAAAGAGAAAAAACCATTCCCAAATACAATAAACAAAGGTACAAGAGATTAAAAGATGAAAAATAGTCTCACCATTCAACTTACATGAAAAACACCAATTGGGGGACAACGACCAACTTGGTCTTTTCCTTTGTAGCCAATCACAAGTGTTAATGCAACTAAGAAGACTTCCTACAGAAAGCATTTACCTAAAAGGGATAGAGAAGCAACAGATTTCCTTAATAGGAAGCAACCATGCTGCATTAATTGCCATTAATTAATGCTACTTGCCACATTGTCAGGATATTTAATGGCCCGATGGCATTGCGCTTTACATGGCATGGCCGTGATGCCTCCTCATCCTGCCAAACTTTATCTGGTTAATTGTGCCTTCATGATATTCCTCCTTGAGAAGTTATGTTAGGGGGAGTTGGCTCATCCATTCGTCTCATCATTTGTCTTGACCTACGAGACACCTTACTACTGATGCTTCGTCATTAATGGCCTTGACTCTTCCTTGATGGTGGTGTATCTCACCTCTTCGTAGTTTGATGCATGCTCATCTAATTCATTGGATTGGCACTTCCAATTTTAGATTCAACATTCAGTCCCTTGACAGACAGGTCACCCTATGGGAAGGTGTGGCTGTCACACCTTAGGCTACTTCCAAGCTTAGGCTATCTTGGTGGAAACCGAGGCATAGTTATGCCTGAATCGGTTTCATGGATAATTATCCCACATTCCCACGTTTGGGTTGGGCTTCTGCGCTCGATCCTTGTGCCCAACCATGTGGAGCTTCCTTGGCCAGATAGCTTTGAGTTTGAAACCCTCATGTTGTGTTGAAGTTTTGATCAAACTTGTGGCAAGCTTAAGATGAGTTCTCTGGCTGGACATAAAGGTTTTGCCAGGTTTTTTTTCTGAATAGCTCATCTTGCTGAAGCCCCTCCACCTCCAATTCATGGGCCTAACAAAATCCACAAAGCCCCTGATTTAAACCCTACAGACCAAAGTCATGTTCATGATATTTGATCTTTGAATTATAAGAGTAAAGATAAGCACTATTTTATTTGTATTTCATCTTTGAATAATGTATCATATAATGTGATATTGAAACAAGCCAATTCCTTTTAGCTTAATGAGCTGGATTTAGGCTTAGATAGGCTCGTATCAATCCCGGCTAGATCATGATCAACTAGTTTCTAGCCTTTGAGTGGCCCACGAAAAGAGGGAGAACTATGTTGAAATGTATCAGAGCAGCTCTCCTGTGGACTACTTGGGAAGAAAGGAATGCCAGAATATTCCAGGAGTAGGAAAGAAGACTTTTTGAAGTCAAGGAGTGTATATTCTTTGGCCAAAATCTTTAGAACTCTTTGAAAGTTACTCCTTCAATGATATTCAGAGGAGCTGGTCAGCAGTGGCTGTTACTTCTTCTACGAAGCTCAGAATTCAAGCAAGATAGACTCCTATAGAGGGTTTTGTTAAGCTGAATTTTTTATGGGAGTAGTCAGGGCAATCCAGGACCGTTCAGAATAGGTGTTCTGAGAAACAAGGACAGTAGCATTCTCTCTTTTTTTCAGGTCTAGTGGGGATAGGAGACTCTACGAGGGATGAGCTTCTAGCTGATTACAAGGGATACAGATTGCAAACCAACTTGGAATGGAGAACTTAATAATTAAAGGAGATTTCAAGGTGGTTGTGGGATGGTTGTCTGACCTGGATACTGTCACTTGGGGCTATAAGGACCTTCTAAAAAAAGGTAATTGGCTTATAAGAAACATGGCAGTTAGATTTTAGTGGGTGGGCAGATTGGCAAATGCCTCGGCTGATTCTCTTGCCAAACAAGGGGCTTCTTGGATTATTTTATATTTGGTTTCTCTGTAATTTTATTTTGCATAGTGTAATCAACTAAAGGGTAGGTAGAATCCTCCATCTCCCTTTCTTAAAGAGGAGGTAGCATCTCGTGCCTCCTCTTGGGCTGTAGTCCTTGCCCTATGAATTAATAAATCTTCCTGTTCAATTATAAAAAAAAAACCTAGTTTCCCGCCTTACCCTTGGTTTGTTGACATTCTGCAATAACCTTGAATTTTTGGGGTCAGTTTTCCTCCCCCTTCACAGAGGATGCTTTTGAAGTTCTATCTGCTTTTTTCTTTTTTATGTACTGGAAATTTGTGAAAAAGCATTAAGCCTCCTTGTCTAACAAATTGGATTTCACTTCATATTCTGAGTCTGGCATCTCAAGGTGAATTACATATAGTTCCACTTATTCAAAGGACATGGTACAACTAATTTAGATTTGCTTTCGTTATTGATGATCTCTATTTTTTGTGCTTTAATTTCTCAAATGGAAGTTGGCAGTCACATGTCAACTCTGTGTGATGTTGTCATATTGGTATTCGCCTTTTCTTTCCAGATATTATTATCAAGCTTTTTCTGTTTATTATTTTTTCTATGTAAATTTACTTGGAAGGTTGAATATGCTTTTCTCAACAGGAAGTATTTAGAAGAGCTGTGTTTGTGGGTGGAGTCTAACACTACCACGCTAAACATATTGACTTCACATGCCGAGATTGCACTGGGCTTCCTTCTAATTATTTCACTGTTCTCGTCAGTTGCTCTTTATTTATTTGTTTATTTATTTTTTTGGTTCATTTTACTTTCTGCTTCTTGGTCTTCCTTTATACAGACTCAGAAATCTAGTTTTGTGGTTGCAGATGGCAACGCAACATAATACAAACGTTCATGTATTGGCAGGTCTCTCTCTCTCTCTCTCTGTGTGTGTGTGTGTCAGTGTGTGTGTGTGTGTGTGCATATGCAGATGGTCTATTGTTGGTTTCTATTACTGCCAAACGGTGCAGGTGTGGGCATGAAGAAACATACTCATGTTAGTCTAAATCTTCTTAGAAAGTAGAGAGGAGCATTTGAGAAGAGAACAAAATGATTGGAGTCAGAAAAAGAGAGTGGGCAGCAGCCCCTCGTATTATTTTGTTAGGGCAACCATAATAAAGGGGAAATACAGAGCTACCACTGCCACTAAACATAGAAGAGCATAAAAAACAATATAACAACATTGTAAATCACACTACAACATATACTAGGTCTGCATAAGTAGATTACTCCTTTATGAGCCCCATCCGGTAGGGAGTAAAAAACAGTACGACAGTGTAAGTCACACTACAACATATACTAGGTCTGCATCAGTAAATTGTTGCTTTATGCCCATCCAGTAGGGACTAAAAACCATCCATCGGAAAAGCTAATAGAGATCCGTTTACCAGATGATTCCTACTTTTAGTAAATAATGATCAATACGAGTGCTTGGCTACGTTTTCCTTAATTTTTGACAGTTACAATTAGATTCCTATGCATGCCTCATGAGGCAGACACAGAGATCTGAAACTTCATGAAGAATCAATCCTTAACCGCTAGTTGGAATGAATCTATCATTGTGCTCCTACCATCTAGGCTTCTTACATGTTTTTATAAGATTTTATTTACCAATTTCGTGCGTGAATAATATTTTATTTTAAGATTTAAAATGTAGTGATTGATTCTATCATCATTTTGTTTCTGTGCAATATAATTGTGCAGTTGTTGAAGCTCATGTATCATGCCCCTGTAACTGCAAGCTACCATCAAAGTGTATGGGCTAAGATTGGTCGGACTGTATGCCCTCACATCAACCGTTATGCCCCATTCTTGAACACTCCAATCACTGCCATTCAGAGATGGTGGTTCAGGTAAAGATTCAAATTGAAAGAGAGAGGGAAAGAAGAGAGACATGCAGAGATCAAATGAGATTCACTTGTTTTTGCTGGTCACTGATTTCAAACCACTGAAATCCTTTTATAACTACTCGAATCACCTTTTGGAAAGACTGGTCACTGATAAAATGGTGCAAAATTCTTGATTAAAATAGTCAAATGAACCCTTTACTTAACATCCTTCTTGTTTTTGCTTTGTCTTATTTCTGTCTCCTCGGATAATAGAGTGCTAGCTTGGCTTTGGTAAGTTTGTTAATTGTCCATAAATCACACTGCACTGGATCTGTTCTTGCTAGAACAGAGATAGCAATGAACACATTGCCTGACCATCAGGAGCTGCAGAAAACCGGTTATCCTATCCATCCAGAAGCTGTTAAGCAGTGCTTGGTACAGTGAAGAATCATTTTGACTGTTGTTTGTGGTTGCCTACTAATTGTGCTGGCAGTATTATGATGTGTTCGGTTGGGTCTATGCAAGCACGAGCAGTGACTCCATTGGGAAGTGTAAGGCTGCGTTTGTTTGCAGTGTAAATGCAAAACTACATCGATGGAATTTAACAACGGTCAGATGCTTGAGTGTAAAAAGTGAACCGACATTATACTCATTTTACACATTTAACAACGGTCAAAAAGCGTCACGTTTTTGTATGCCTTTAGAGAATATTCATCAAATGCAAATCTCCACCCTCCCCAACTCTCCTCTTAGAGACGAAATGATTATCAGAACTAAGTCTGAATTCTGAAGTCGAAAACATTTCCTCCGCTCTTGGGTTAGAAAAAAGAGGGAAAACTTGATTTTCAAGTAGTTCCAACACAGTTTGATCAGCGTTGAAGCTTTGACCGGCAAACCTGAGCACCGTAGCTGTTTCAAAAAATGCTTTCCATCTGTAAATCTGTAAAAACTGTTGACATATGTTGGGTTTCATTTCTCTACACTCGACTTGGCTTCTGATACTTGTCTTGTTTCTCTGGAGATGTTTATTGGGAAAAACAAAACTTAGAAAGACATCTTCACAAAGTTAGGCCCTCACAAGTTCTATTTTAAATACTACATCTGATGATTTTCTTTGATAAAGAAATCAAAGCCAGAGACCTGGAAATCAAGAACAAAGAAATCATTAGAAGAAAGCACAGAACAAAGCCTATAGTTCTTTTACTAGATATTCTTTGTTGGTGGGATCGTGGGTTTCTTAGGAGAAATCACGAATGCTTCGGGCGCCTCTCACAGACCTGAAAATCAAGAACAAAGATTTTCAGTCTTTCCCCTGAATCACCTCTCAACTAGATGCAGGACAAAGAATATTGAACCAAATGGACGATGGATAAGATGGAGAAGAGAGACGTCGATGAAGAGAAAGAGAGAAAGCGAGACACTGATGGAGAGATGCACAAAGGAGAAGTAGCGGTGCCAGCGAAGAGTTATCACAACGGGAGCATTTCGAAGATGGAGAGGAGAGACATTATTGATAGTGCTTTCACACTGATGGAGAGACGAAGAAATTTTTACATTGATTTTTTCGATGTATTTTTTACATCGATTTTCGATGTAAAAATCTATCAAAGAGGTTATTTACATCAATATTCATTGTTATTTTACACAATCCAAACAGTCACAAAATCGGATTGGAGTGTAAAGTAATAATGAATTGGGATTTACACTTCTTCCAAACGCAATCTAAGGCATAGAGGCTACTTGGGTTGGTTAAGGCAATGCTGTGCCCGTTTGGCAAGTCTTTTTTAGAAGATCTGTTGCAAGATCTTACAGTTAAGAAACATGGTGAGCTTTTGCAAATAGATCTTGGAAGACCAAAAACTGTTGGTTGAAATATTTTTCATAGATATTTATAAAAAAAAAAATCATAGATCTCCAAAAAGACTATAAAAGTTGAAAGACCGTTTGATAATGTGATGAAAATGTGTTATGTATATATGAATGTCTTGTGTATGGGTTATAGTTGTGAGTCATGCAATCATCATAAATGGGTCCTATATGCAAATTCCATCTATGCATATTCTTCATTGAGTCCACAAATATTTTTCAAGGTAGGCCTCACATACATTTCAACATATGCGTAATACATAATGTGCATTCCACGAACATTTCAATATATGCATAACACGTAATATGGGCCCCATATGCAAGCCCACCTATGCATATCCTTCATTATTGAATCCACAAATATATTTTAAGGTGGGCCTCACATACATTTTAACGTATGCATAATACGTAATGTGTGCCCTACAATATTTTCAATCTCGGGCCACTCATATAAGTCCATATTTGTATGCCATATTTGTGGTCTTCACTTGTGTTTAGAATATTGGGCCTACATATATTTTCCAAAAGTGGGCCTTACATGTCCATACATGGATATCAAACATGTAGGCCCCACGGATTTGATAAAGTGGATCTCACATGTACATACCATTGATGGGTCTCACTTACACATTTAAATAGTTTTTTGTTGAAAGATAACCCATTTTCTCCCAAGCGTGTACATCGTGCCACATGCGGGAAGAAGACGCGGAGTACTAGAAGACTATAAAAGTTTCATTTGAAGCTCCCTGAAAAATTCTAAATATGAGCTGCTCACTCTTTTATGGGCTGGAGCTTTTTTTAAATAGATCTCTCCATTGCCAAATGGGAAAACCCAAAATTCGGACTTCTGGGCTTCTAAACAGCTCAAAGCTTGCGTGGAAAGAATTGCCAAACACGGCCAACAGTGCATTGATGCCAATCATGAACTGGGAGCCAAACCAAAGTGGTTGCTGGTGAGGCAAGCGGTAATGCTAAACCACAGGATGGTGAGCTATTACTTCTTCCTCCAGTTTCATATCTTGGTCTGGTCTTGGAGTTAACTACTACCCAGCTGGGTTGGTACTGGTTTTGGTTGGTTCTGAAAATTGTGTTAATATTATTTATTGAAATTTAAAAAAAATAGAAGATTTTAGATTTTGGTCCTCTTTTTTCCCTTATTTATGTCAATAATTTGGCTCCTGGGAGCTCAACTTGTATATGTTCTCCTTGGACCCAACATGGTAGATCCTGCAATTTAGTAATCTAGTCAGGAAACCAAGAATTCCGGAGACCATCTGTAATTGGGGTTGGAATTCGAAGACCATGCAATTTGGTAGCTAGTTTGTGCTGTGTTGGTGTATGTTCTCAGTTTAATGGAATAATTATTGCCACAGCATCCCCATTGATATTGGAGTTTGTATCTGCTATGTGGGAATGAGTTTGATATTGTACTTATCAGGATTTGAAGTGAATATGAAGTACAAACAAATACTGATTTGGGGGGCATTGAATGACACGGAGGATTCAGACTGCTGCATGGGGACCATCATTCGTGATCCGGCCTGGCCCAGCTTGCAAATTTCTGGCCCCGGGCCCAGTTTTTTTGTCCAAGCTCGACTTATATAATATATTATATTATGTGCTATATATAATAAATTAGACAGACTTAATATTATAATTATATGTTATATATATATGTAAGTATTTATTATTTTATACATATATATATAGCTTTTTAATATATAGATATTCATGAGTTACACATGTGAGTTGTCTTTTTAAGTAAGGCCTTGTATGGATGAAGGCAGGCAGGGCTTTACTTCTATTTTTGAGCAATGTGGCCATGTGGGTGTTTAGGACAAAACTTATGGTAACACTATCGAATATTGTTCCGTCTTACATTGTTCAAGAATGAGAATAAAAAACTTGTCTTCATCTATAAATAGATAAGAAAGGTAAACCAAGTTTAAGGCCCATTTCTTATATTGTGTGCAATAGGCCCAAAACCTAACCAAGTACAGCTTAGTTTGGGTTTGTGTAATTTTTTTTTTCTATATATTATATTAATTAACTTAGGTTGAAGCCTTTATCATCAGTGTTAGACCTAGCCCATGATCACCAGAGTGTTGCAGTGGCACGGTCTCATCATGGAAAATGTATGGATGGGTGGGGCTCTCTGGGCCCGACCCAGAAACATGGTTAGTTTTGAACTGTCATGTAAGCAAAAACAGCTGATGTGAGAGTTGATTTTGTTTTCAAAAACAAAACCAACCATGTTGCCTAAAAGCAATGCTTTTTTTTTTTTTGTTTGTTTAATATAACAAATGTCCTCCAAAGAATGACATTTACTATTACTACTAGTCTACTACTAATTCATTATTGTCAATTTGTCATTCTCTAGGGCTGTGTTTGGTTTGAAGGAAAAAGTAGGGAAAGGTAAAGAAACCTATACAAACTTTGTAAAGGTTTTCTTACCTTTCACTTTCTTTCCCTATTTTTTTTTCCTTCAAACCAAACATTGCCTAAAGGTTAGAGAGGATTGATTTTTAGTATTAATTTGAATTCAAATGTTGCCACACCACCCATACGTAAATTTCAATCGTCCATCTGAAGCATTAAAATTCACCCACGTCCCACGACGTGCTTTCTTTTTTCTGTCATTCATTCTGATGATTCATTCACCTCTCATCCTGTGTCCCTGTCCCAAGTTTGCAACGGCCAACGGGCCAACCCCACAACACAAATCTACATAACAAACAATCCCGAGGCCAAGAGGCCCAACAAACACTCTAATTGTTCTTCCCTCTCAATCTCATTCTCATCTCTCATCATCTCTTCTTCTTCTTCTCCTTCGTAATCATCATTTCATCCCTAATATCGTTGTCTTCATCTTCCTCTCCTCATGGACACGCTCGAAACTGGTCAGCTTAAGGAGCTCAAAACCATCTTTTCTCGTTTCGACAAGGACTCGGACGGCAGTCTTACACATCTGGAGCTCGCAGCACTCTTGCGCTCCCTTGGCCTCAGGCCAACAGGCGATCAGGTGCACGAATTGCTCTCCAACATGGACTCCAATGGTAATGGCTCCATCGAATTCGATGAATTCGTCAGAGTCATAATGCCCGACCTCCAGAACGAGGGGATTTTGATGAACCAGAAGTATCTACTGGAGGTGTTCCAGTCTTTTGATCAAGACGGCAATGGATACATAACTACGGCGGAGCTTGCACGGGCCATGGCCAAGATGGGTCAGCCCCTAACCTACCGAGAACTCGCAGAAATGATGCGACAGGCGGACAGTGACGGAGATGGGGTCATTAGTTTTGATGAGTTTGCAACCGTCATGGCCAAGTCCGCCGCTGATTACCTCGGAATCGCCATCCCATAGCCGGAGATTGCCATTCCGTTAGCATCATCATCGTCGTTGTCATCTCTTCATCTCTCTCCTCCACATGACTATTCTTGGGCGGATTGACTTAACCGCATTGACCTGGTCCTTAGGTCTTCTCTTCTGTACAATTTCATTATTAGAAGAGTGTGTATTATAAAGTAAAAGTGATGTGGCAAGGAAAGAAACATCTGTCATCATCTATCAAACTCAAACTTTTGTTTTAATTAATCTGCTCGACTCCTGGGAACTGTGAATGAAGATGACTCTTGATTATTGGAAGGTCGTTATGTCTAAAGGCAATTATATCCTTGCTTTTGCGGTTTACTTTAATATTGGGTTAGAATTTAGATAAATAGAATTATGGAAATGAAATCCAATATAAATCCAAATTTGGTCATTTTAGTAACGAGACATTTACGAGTACGCAGCTCAAATTCTTCATTACTTCTTCAAGACGGCATTTTTAATCAGGTTTCTAACATCTGTACTCATTTTTGAGCTCAACAAAGCCAATCAAGATGACGCAGAGAAATTGTACAGTCAGCTGTCAAATTTCTTATTTCTTACAGCCCCTTATCCCTGAAGAAATAACTCCTAGACACTGACTCCGAATAAAATTCCTTTAAGGCTGTGAAAAAGCAATTTCTCGATCCTTTCTTCTGATGAAGCGAACTGATGGAGTTGAATGTCTCCATAGATCGCATCAAGAAATACCATGATAGATGATATACAAGGAAGTTAAACAGATAAAAATTGAACTTACATTGATGAAGAGAATACAGAAACAGAGAAGTGTACCCCCCTCCTATAGGAATACAAACAGTTGTAAAAGAAAACTATTCAAAATTGGAGTGAGTATTACTTACATCTTGACAATTATACAATATTGATGAGTAAAAATTGAAAAAAAAATGAAAAAAAAATGATGCCTTAAATGGACAAGAATCAAAATTTACAGCTTTTGGGGTTCTACCCACTCAACTAATAGTACAACAGGTTCTGCTTTTGACTGTAAAACTTGGAGAAGATAGTATGAGCAGTTAATCATGATTACCGAGGCATGCTTTCTAGTCAAGAAGAATGTAAGCAGCCGTTTGCTTACAAGTTGTACTTGATGGGCAGCATTTTGGCTTACAAATCACCTGAGCAAGCATCCAATAGCAAAAACCCACAAATAATATCACAAATTTTTTATGGAGTCTGATGATGATGCTTCTGTTTTAAGCGGTTTCTTTTTGCTTCTGCCCTTGCTGTATAACCTACTGTTGTGGGCCGCAAGGATCTTTGCCGCACCATATGGCAAAACTCAGGATCTTCAGATTGACCCTCCAGTCTTATCCATTGTATCATCTCATGATACATTGGAAAGAATCGCATCTGGATGGCTGAGTATGTGAAGTAAGGGATGAGGCTGGAGATTAGCACAAAAAGTGTGACGAGCCAGTAAGACGGTGCTGGTGCACAAGCTTCAATGAAGACCTTGTAAGCAGTGGTAGATATAATTGGGGACATGGCTCCATAGGCCAAGAGGAAGAGATACCATAGCATGATTCCACCCCAGATGAAGATATGTTGTATCAGGGTGAAGTAACTGACAGAGAGTGCCATCTGGCAGTTAACAACCCAGACAACACAAGTGTACATGGTGGTACCCAGGATCTCCAATCCAACAACCTCACCTCCCTTACGGAATGCCTGATGCTCCAAAGCCCTTGTGCAGAAGAAGAAAACGATAATGGAAGTGCAAACCCCATTAAACATCCAGCTCAATATTCGGAACCAGCTGAATAGGACATTTTGCACACCTTCTTGGTATAGCAGAGGGAACTGTCACATGGAAAGCAGTAAGCTAAAGTTATTATACACATACAGGTGTAGAATTAAAAAAGGAAAAAAAAATGACCATCTTATATGATGGAATACCTTGAGACAAAACCTTGCTGAGACATCCTGGTCAAATACGCCAAGAGCAATCACGGGAAGTGATGTGAAAAAGACATTATATAATGATAAATACCAATCATTATATGCAGGTTGCCCAGAGAATGATGCATAAGCCTCAAAAAAGAAAAGAGTGAAACCAAATGCGATATTCTTGTAGAAGAAGTAGCATATCTGTAGAGAAGCAGAAGAAAACCATCAAACTTTTGCTTTTTTTTATTATTTATTTTGGAGCTGAGGGTGACGTTGATTAGCATGCATTAGTAAATTGTGATGGAAATCATCAAGGTTGTTAAACAAAGCATAGCTTAAAAGCTAATGGGTTGATTAGGAACAGAAGGGCCATTACCCCAATGTTGGTCCTGGCTATCCAGGATCTTGGGAGGGGTAGACTGGATATTGACCCCCAGCATTTTCTTGCACAAAATGTCTGCTCTCAGACAAGTTTGTCTTATACTTGACAGCCTCAGGTTTAGCCATTGCACCAAGCGACAACCCCCTCCTAAGATCTAGAAATGACAAGCTAAATGCATATTGACGATAGCTTCTAACCGAAGTATAAAGATATGAAAGACTAACCATTGATGAAATCCTTCTATAACACCAATGCCCATGTACAAGTAGCAAACGTTCCAGGAATTGGAACTGAGCAATTGCAATGTCACTTGACATGACTGCCTGAAATAATCAAAGAAGAAGAAATGAGGTGAAACGGAAAAAAAACTCAATTTTCTCCAAGAACCACAAGTTTTGTATTTATTGGACATTTTACCTGCATCCCTTCAACACCACTAATACCAACTCCAATATCTGCTTCTTGAAGCATGCCCACATCATTGGCCCCATCACCAATTGCTAATGTTGTCTTACCTGTTCCATTTTTAACCAACCGTGTAACCTGAAATTATTGAAGAAATAGATATCTCATTAGTCAAAATAATTCCTTAAGAAACATCTTTTGATGAAATAAACAACTTTGCAAACTTACAAGTGCTTTCTGTTTTGGTGATGAACGACAGCAGATAACAGATGCACAGCCAATTGCCAAATGTAGAAATTTGCTCTTGACATCATCCTCCAGAGCATATGCAAGTGACTTTCCATCAATGATCAAAGCATATGCATCATTACCATTTGATGCAGTGAGCTGTGCCTGCCCTTCACTTATCTGATGGATAACACTTGCTTTTGATTCCTAAAAAAGGATCCCCAAAATGACAAAAAAATCACTTAAGAGGTTTTACAATTCCATTTACTGAGCTTAATAGATTTGCCAATAAAATAATGATTAATGAATCAAAACTCTCGTTGGTATTTCCCATTTGTCCATATTCTACTCATGAAAGAAACCAATACTGGCAACACCAGTAAAATTATTGTCAGACACCCCTTAAATTTGAAGAGAAAGTTGGCAAAGATCTTTTCCAGCCACTAAAACAGGAAACTTTGAAATAAAAATAATGTGGAGATCCCGCTGATGATGTCCCCTCACCACATATCAAAACAATAGGTAGATGACCCTAGTGGACAACCTTTAGCTAGCAAATGTGTATACTAACTTTGCGGTCCATTATTACCTAATATATATTATCCAATAACCCTTTCATATTTAAAAATATGTACAGCTGCTATTCGAACTTTTATTTCCACTACTGATATAAGAACAAGAAGTAAAACTAATTTCTACCTTGGCAATGGCGATCTTGTCCCCCTCTTTCTCCAATGCTTTAATTACTGGTGTCTCCAAGTTGATAATTATTTGCTTCATTCCTTGTCTAAGCAAACTACAGGCAAAACTGCAAGATTTAACTAATAGTCAGGTACATCAGAAGAGTATACTTTACAATATAAATATTAAAAAAAGAACCATATCCAGAACTTGTACCCAATATTGATGGCTGTCTCCATCTTATCTCCAGTTAAAACCCATATCTTTATTCCAGCTTGTGCAAGTTTGTCAATGCACTCAGGAACCTGAAAGATGAAAAACAATAATCACTCCGAAATCTCACAATTATCTCCCCCCCCCC